TTTCTTAAGGTTACAGATGCTCCAGCTGAATGCACACTCATGATTTACCCTTTTTGGAACTCTGACAAGTCACCCATTTCTCACATGGCTTGTAATAAACACTGCTGAACACAAATTATACTACATTAGGGCTGTGCAAAAAAAACTAATGGGATTTTCATGCGAATCTCGTCAGTAAAGCCGCTTCTGGTGATTAGTAGTAAATCTCCAGCACGTACTTTCAGATGGAGCGGCATTTACTACACAAAGCCGTAGATCACTGACAAGCTACACAAAATCGCATTCAAAATCGGCAATGAATCGCCTGCAATTTTGAAGGTTGATTTTGTGTAGCCCTACTACATTGATATACAACCTAGAATATAGACTAATGTAATAAAAAATAATTGCGACATTTGTTCTTTCACAATACCTTTCACAAATTATATTAACCTCAATAATGGGTGTTCACATTTGTCCAACCCCTGTAATTCACACTAAGAAAAAAAAAGGTTCGAGGAACCCAAAAAATAAACTTTTGGAACCTTATTTTTAAGACTGAAGAACGAAGTCCCCACTCTACATTTTTTACAGAAGAAAAGATCTGCCACTACTATCATTTCATCATGACTTTAACCTAAACCAAAAAAACAACAACCATGTATTTATCATATTTGTTCACCCATTTAAAAAAAGAATTGCATTCAGCACATGAACTGACATAGGCACAAGGCAAACATCAAAACATGCCATCAACATTATGCATTCAGTCCAACACGGTCACTTGCAAAGAGTGAAATCCTTCGAGGAAAACCTGCTCCCACTGACAGTTACAGAGGGATGGTGCAGCATTATGAGTAGCTGGAGGGTAATCTAGTGAAGTCGAACGAACAATTGAATTTGTTTGTTTTAATTGGACAATGAAGGGTACCAATGGGTGTTCTGAGTTTGGACCCACAGCCCTTCCTTGCTCTCTCTTTCTCTTAAACTTGCTGACCCAGACTCAAAGTTGGCATTGATGTGTGCACACCACTTTGGCCTGATGAGTAAGCAGAACTGAACCGCACAGACAGAGGACAGGAGTCTACGAGACAAACCGAAAGAGCAACACAGGACATGGAAACAGGTGAAACTAGACAGCTGTTTAACCCCAGCAGCAAAAACACCCTTACAGGGATCTTAATTTAGTTTTCTGTGACTCTGTCCTGTCTGTCTGACCCTTAGAATTTAATGGACTGTGACTTTAGGACTACTATGTAATAAAACTAGTGAAAAAAGGTAAAAACGGTCATTTTGATTTCTTATGTTATGAGCTGTAATTCAACTCTGATTGCCGAAGGTGTAAATACACTTCAGCTTTTACACACTAAAGCACAGCTGGTAAATTGGGCAGTTACTTAAAAGGGCCAATCAATAGTAATGATTGTGTTTTAGTATAACGCAGACTAGAAATGACCTGAACTTTAGTGTTGTTGTTAAAGTCACAAAGTTGTGCCCTGTTTCTTAGCATAACAGTTAAAGGTTTGCTGTGAGAGCTGTTGCTGTGAAGAAGGACGCAAGATATTACGGTGCATGATATCACCATGCATCTCAGTTTTGAGCGTTAAGGTGTGTGTACAAGAGAAAGAGGTATCAGCTTTATATCAGACAGCCAATAGCTACAATCGTGTGGCTAAAACCAGGCCACTTCCTCTCAGCATCACTCCACCTTCCGTCTACTTCCTCCTCACTTTCCTGTCTCTCCTCCTCTTCGTCTGCAGCCGAGTTCACCCTGCAGCGATAATTCAGCCTATTTCATCTCCCTGCTCATCAAAGCCTAGATTTAACGCACAGTCTAAACCGCGAGCCCAAACCTCAGATGTTGTCAAACGCTAAAGGAGGTCAAAGTGTTGTTTCAGAAATGTTCCACATGTCTGCTCACTGTGGCTCAGATTCAAACAACCTGTTTACATTACCATCTACAAAACAAAGCCGTGTAGAGATACACTTTTTACACATTTCCAAACTGATGGTTTAAAAGTTTCCGGTGAAAAGGTAAATGACTACTAACATAATTTGTGCAGATTTTGTTACTTGTACCACATAGTGATTGGTTATTACAACTGGATTTTTGCTATTATTGTAATGCTATATATAACATAATATAATATGTATAAATAAATATTTAGTAATAATAATAATAATACGTTAATGCTATATATAATATAATGCATTATATGTATAAATAAATATTTAGTAATAATAATAATACGTTAATGCTATATACATATAATGCATTATATTATATTATATATGTATAAATAAATATTTAGTAATAATAAGAAGAAGAAGAATAACTTTTTTTTAAAATTATTATTAAATATTATTAGTGGTAGTAGTAGTACTGAAGTACAAGATAATATTATATAATAATTATAATAAATTATTATATAACAATATAATAATACTAATACTACTACTAATAATAAATATTTACTTTCTTTTATTTACTTTCTCTTAATTTGGATTCGGAAGTAAAGTTAATTTCCAAACAGTCTGCAAACTAGCCTGATTTCCAAAATAGTTTACTTTGTAATTAGTCAGTCCAATTTTTCCAATTTGATGCATTCAGCTCAATTCGCAAACTGTTTGTGAATAAAATAGGTGGCATTATCTAATTGAAAAGGCAATCGGCCAATCGCAATGCAGAAAAGGTGTTGCCACCTCTCAAGCGATGTTTCGACTGAATTATCTTGTTTTCCCTCATATTCACAGTCACACTCCAGGAGCTCAATGAGAACGCAATGAGCTCAAAGGAGGTATGAAAAGCTACTGGTCCTATCAAAACCAGACTTAAAAATAAATAAATAAATAAAATAACCCTTTGTGAAAAGCTATGAATAAACTGGTATTTAACTTATCAACTAAGCAAAAGCCTGCATCCATCATGCAATTAACGTAAACTGTGTAAAGTGGCCATTACAAACACCACCAAACAATCACTGTGAATAAAATCTATTTCAATGCCGTTTAAAAAACATTAGCAGACACTGTTCACGGTTTCTCAATTACAACAGCTCATAATAACATGGCTTTCCTGCTGGTAAACATCTTCAGAATTATTCCGCCAAAGAGCCTCGTAAAGCATTCGCATGGAGTCGATGTGGCAAGGGATAATAAAGCGCTGCCATGCTAATTAATGGAGTCGTTCGCATGCGTGTAAGGTCTGGATTGAGAGAAGTAACATCTGATTTCAAATGTGATCAGTAAACAGTGTGTATGAGTACCGTCATGACACAAAGACAATCAATACATTGTTATCGACCCGGTCGGTCTACAACGCCATTCTTCTCATAAAATAATTATGTAGCGCTGGACAGTAAAACAGCAAGAAATCAGTCACATGGTACATGTTCTTGTATCATCCTTTACTTACCGTCACATTGTTCCAAACCTTTCCAAAACGTTCTTTCTTTTGTAGAACGCAAAAGATGTTCTGAACAGCTTCTTGCTATTTTCTATGCATTGAAAGCATATAGTAAGCGAAAGCAACAGATCGTGTTGGAGTAAGATTTCACATAAAATTGCTGTAAGGCTTCAGAAAAATCACTTTTATGGTGTTTTTTTAAAGCTTAACAGCTCCTGGTCACTGAATGCCTTCATTGTATAGATAAGAGCAGTGTGGACATTCTTTAAAACATCTCTTTCTCTAAAAAAGAAAAATAAAGTCACACAGGCTTGGAACAGAAATGACAACAGACTGTTCATTGTGGGGAGAACAATCCCTTTTACATTTATTATAAATTTGCCTAATTAACACGGAAGCTTCAAACCTTTGGAGCCAGTAAGAATTTTTTGAAAGAAATTAATACTTTTATCTAGGAAGGACGCAAACTTGACAGTAACGACTGTCCTGAAATCTCGAAAGCAAATGTATTACAGTTTCCGCAAAACTATTAAGCAGCACAACTGTTTTCAACATTGATAATAATAAGAAATCTTTCCTGAGCAGCAAATCAGCATATTAGAATGATTTCTGAAGGATCATGTGACACTGAAGACTGGAGTAATGATGCTGGAAATTCAGCGTTGCCATCATTGGTTTATTTTTTTATGTATTCAACTAAAAAAAAAACGTAAATCGTGTTAATATTTCACATTATTACTGGTTTTACTATATTTTTGATCAAATAAGTGCAACCTTGAGTGACTTGCAAAAACATTTAAAAAACCGTTCAGACCCAAGAGCTGCGTGGTATATTGAATATTAGAGATATTATCTCAACAATCAAATAATCAATATAAAATGACAGAATACTGTAAACATTGAATATTGTAGAAAATGAAGATTAATGTGCAAATCAACACTCAAATCAACAACACCCCTTTTTCATAGTGTTAAACATACACCCCGTCGCCCTCATTACAGTAAGCAGCGCTAAAACCGTTTCTCCACCAGGAACAAGACTATCACTGAGGGAAAGTGAGAACTACCACACAACAAAACCGTCTTTTATTCTCCGCCAGGACCACAGAGACTTCTGGAAGGAGAACGGTAAGGACTTGTGACTAGAATTACTGACACACTTTTCCTTTGAGTGTCGAGCTAATCTGGTTTTAGTCGTGATTACGTAAGCCATCACTTTTTCCCGTGTCTCTGGGCAATAGTAGCGCAGGCTTGGTGATTTTTAGTCCTCTTTGTTCGGGAGGAGATACTTCAACGCAGATTTTAGCATCACCAGTTTCACCTGCTGCAATCACACATGGCCAGCTGTGACATGCTCATAGTTTCACAGTCTCTCAGCTGTGGAAAAATGTACCGAAATGCTCAGCAAAGGAACAAGCTAAATCTATTTAATGAGGCTGAAATTAACATTCAGCATTTCTTTCCACGACATTGCTGGTACTCCTATATCCTTATCGGAAAATGATCTCATTCAAGAGTTTTTTTTAGTTGGAACAAGCTGATATGTGGACCAGACTTTTTGCTTAAAGTCAGAAGTATGGTTACATGAGTTCCAGTTTGGGTGTAGTTGTCGTACCTGTGGCAGTGCGGAGCTGAGCTGACGCTGCAGTGAGTCCCGGTCATAGATGACGTCCTCCAGGTGCTGCTGGGCGAGGGAAAGGCTTTCTTGTGTCTCTCTCAGGGTGTCCAACAGACGGTCTCTCTCGTCAAGCATGTTCACCATCAACTGCTCAAAATGCGAGTCAGGGTCCGAGGCGCTGCTCTGGGAGCCACGCTGGTCCTCGCTGATCGTGGGCATCACTTCGCACATCATCTTCACCTGCTGAAAGAGGATGCATGCAATGGAAATATCTGTAAAACTGCTTTGAAACAGTGTGTATTGTGAAAAATGCTCTATAGATAAATTTGACTAGTCTTTAACTAGACTTGGTTCTGTAAAGAGATCAGTGTAAATAATAATGAATTAAAAACTGATGAAAATACAATTATCAAATCATTTACATCAAATGATGTAAATAATAATAATTAATTAAGTTTTATGTTTATACAAAATATATATATATATACACATTATCGTTCATAAGTGTAGTGTCAGTAAGAATTTTTTAAAGAAATTAATACTATTTATTCAGCGAGGATGCATTAAAATGATCAAAAGTGACAGTAAAGACATTTATAAACTTTGTAATATTTATAAAAGGTTAAAAATATTTCTATTTAATTTCTTGAAAAAGGTGTGTCACAGTTTCCACAAAAATATCAAGCATTGATCAAATTGATAATAATAGAAATATTAAGAAATGTTTCTTGAGCACCAAATCATATTGGAAGGATTTCTGATGGATCATGTGACACTAAAGACTTGAGTAATGGCTGCTGAAAATTCAGCTTTGCCACATTACATTTTCAAATATATTATAATAGATTTTTTTTTAATTGTGATATTATTTCACAGTATTACCGTTTATCTATATGTGACCAGTGTCAATTAAGTGTCAATTTTATGAAATTGAGATTTATACATCATGAATAAATAAGCTTTCCATTGATGTATGGTTTGTTAGGATAGGACAATATTTGGCCGAGATACAACTATTTTAATATCTGGAATCTGAGGGTGCAAAAAAATCTAAATATTGAGAAAATCGTCTTTAAAGTTGTCCAAATGAAGTTCTTAGCAATGCATATTACTAATCAAAAATTAAGTTTTGATATATTTACAGTAGGAAATTTACAAAATATATTCATGGAACATGATCTTTACTTAATATCCTAATGATTTTTGGCATAAAAGAAAAATCTATATTTTTTACCCATACAATGTACTTTTGGCTATTGCTACAAATATACCCCAGCGACTTAAGACTGCTTTTGTGCTCCAGGGTCACATATTTTTTAAACAAATAAATGCAGCCTTAGGAAGCGCAAGAAGCTTCTTTCATAATCAGCAAAAAAATCTTACCAACCTCAAACTTTTGAACAGTATGATATTATCAACACTTTACGCACATAAACATACTTCTTTTGTCTGTCAATTCCTTTGTGTCTATCTATAAAAGCATTTAACTGCTCGGAGCCTCTGCGAGAAGACAGCATGTTGTAGACTGTATGTACACATGATCTTTACTTAATATCCTAATGATTTTTGGCATAAAAGAAAAATCTATATTTTTGACCCATACAATGTACTTTTGGCTATTGCTACAAATATACCCCAGCGACTTAAGACTGCTTTTGTGCTCCAGGGTCACATATTTTTTAAACAAATAAATGCAGCCTTAGGAAGTGCAAGAAGCTTCTTTCATAATCAGCTAAAAAATCTTACCAACCTCAAACTTTTGAACAGTATGATATAATCAACACTTTACGCACATAAACATACTTCTTTTGTCTGTCAATTCCTTTGTGTCTATCTATAAAAGCATTTAACTGCTCGGAGCCTCTACGAGAAGACAGCATGTTGTAGACTGTATGTAGTTCTTAGTTTGTGCTTAAACTAACAGAAAACATTAGCTTTGCTGTTATGTTGGTGTAGCTAATAATTTCCACTCTGTTCTTATCAAATTTGTGTTTGAAATGAATTTCGTTTTGTGAGGAGAACTGTTGAGGAAAAATAATAGAACCCAATTTTAAGTTCATCATGGTGAAGTTGGACATTCTGGCGGTGATTGTAAGAATGATAAATGCATGTTGATATCATATAGTTATGTCTTGAATAAAATATGCTTATTTTCCGATGTTTCTCTTTCTTTTTGGCATTATCACGAGTGTAGACACAAGTTTAATTTCCTTGATTATAACAATTGTAGCGTTGTTTTTAAACTTGTAGTCAAGCTATAACGGATGCTATTTGATATTTATCATATATGACTAAAATCATGCAGGGATTGAAAAAGAATTCTGAGCAAAAACGTTAAGGTTTTTTTCTCTGTCTCTTTTGGCCCATTTTTAACGAAACAAAAATAACTGCTTTATTTATTTAGAAGCAGGGTAATTTAAATTGAATTTTTGTATTTTAATTTTTATTTTATAAATCAAAATACAATGGCCACAATATAATATTCAGTGTTGGGCTGCCGAAACTCCGAATGCGTGCATGTTGAGGGGCGAGCTGAGAAGCCTACTAATGTCTTCAACTTTATAGTTTTGTTGCAAATTAATTAAGAATTTATAGTGCTATATCTCATCTTAATTAAACATAATTATACTGTATACACTGTTTAAAAAAATCTGTAAACAAAATAAAACTAGGGCACTATGTGCGCTGTATAAATAGGCTGTGAAGGGATTTGCGTATTTTAAAGAGCAGGTCATATGGGTTTTTGAAAAATATCTCTTTTGCAGTTTATAACGTAGCTATCCTTAAATGAAAACAATCTGCAAAGTGGTTATTCAAAAAGTGCATGATAAATAAAGATATTGTCTCTCAAAAGAGAGAGTTGATTCTGAATCACCTAAACGAGTCGTCATATTTTCGAATCTTCTGCCTGTTACCGGTATACGTCACTGGGTAACACATTTGCATAATCCCCACCTGCCCACGAAATACGAACAGAGTCTGACCTGCCCACAAACACTTCCGCTAGTAGTTAGTGTGTTTACATCATGTTGAGAAGACGCCGTGTTCAAGGATACCACAGAAATACAATTCCAACCTTTTGTTGTGTGCATGTCATTTTACCAAGGACTGCTTCTCTAATCTTGGCTTTTATCTTCGTTGGCTTCTAATCTTCTTAATTTGGACTAACAAGCTCTCCGAACCACAACCTGTATGTACGATTGATACATTATGTGTATATTTTCAATTGAGTTCTCAAAATATTCTGATAATTCGCTGTGAACCCACTATTTCCTAAGAATGTGTCGATTAATGTAGACTGATGTTGTTCTAATTACTTCATTTAATAATAAAGAATGTAGTGTAGGGCACAGACTTTATAATCATTGTGAAATTGCTGTTTATTTTGCTGC